AGAGCTAACTGAAGAGATTTGTCTAATACAAATTCAGTACAAATATAATTTGTTTGATCAAGAGAAAATGATTTGGCTCTTAAAAAGTCTGGATTATGTTGAAAGATATTGTTGATATATTTGATGTTGTCTTTAGTGTTGTTTTCAGGAAGTGATGATTTCTTGATCCATTCTCTGAATTGTTTAGTGCTATGTATGATGATCCATTGATTGTTGGCAGAATCAGGGGATATAATTTTTGGAGTTATATTATGAGATGATGAGATTGGATTAATTGTGTGTTTATTGTGTAATATAGAAGAAAGAACATGTGTGTCGTTAGATGAGAAAGGATTTGCTTCAAAATTAGCTAATTGAGATAAGACTGTGTGTGCATTATTTGCTTGAAGCGTGTTGTTTGTTTGTTTTGTATTGACTGATTCCATTTCATTAATGTGATCAGTTTTTGCTTTTTTGGTGCGATTAGCTTGTAATTGTGTGTTGTGAATTATTTGCTGGAAAGATTAGAGATTGGATGAATTATCTGATGTGCTAACAGGGATTTGCTTGTCAGTATTATTTGAAGATGAGGAAAATAAACCTAAGAAATTTTGTATAGTAGTATATATAGATGAAGAAGAAGAAGAAGAATTAGCAGTTCTTTTATTTTTGGTGTTGTTAGTAGACATGATGGTGAAGTGTTAGAGGGGAATATTGTAAATATATATATTTTTGTGTGTTTTTAAAATTTTTTGTTATTTTTGTTTTTTATAGAATTTTTAAAGAAAAAAGGAAATAGAAAAAGAAGAAGAATTGTAAAGTTAAAGTAGCGTTAAGAAATAATAAAAAAGAAAGATGTAAGATGAGTAGAGATTTTTTGTTAGTAGAATCTGTGTATTGTATAATGACTTTATTGTGTTGAGAAGAAAATTTTGCGCTTGGTAAAATGTGACTCTGCCTGATCGAGAAATCAACAGAGAAAAGATGCAAAAAGAAGTTTTAATTATTATAATTATTATTATTATTATAGTATTGATTAGATCTATTATTATTATTATTGTTATAGTCATTGTTATACTTGCTTCGACAGTAAATAACTATATATTCAAGTTTTTTACAATTATAGCAAGTTGGTAGTTGAGTATTCTTTTGTGATTAATTAAATACTCTTTTATTAGATGTATTATTTTGTTGATTATTATTATTATTGATTGATAAAGTCTTCAATTGACTAGTAAAAGTAGCTAATTGTTGTGAGACTTGATTAAGATTATTTAGTTATTGTAACATGATTGGAATATTTAAGAGACTAGTAGTTGAATTAATAGTTAGTTCAGTAAATTATTAATAACTAGATCCATATAGTTGAGCGATGTGAATTGCAGTATCCAAAGTAGTTGGTCTAGTAGGATTAACAAAGAATTTGATTTCTGATTTTAATTCATCAACAAATAATATTACTTTTAGATATTCTGAATAAGCATTATCTGGATCAATTCATTAAAGTAATTCTCAAACAATAGCAGAATATTGTTCAATGCTTTCAGTAGGTAATTGTTTTCATTAATTTAATTGTTGTTGCTATTCATAAATTTTATCAACAGTTCTAAATTATTGCGTGAATTGGAAAGCAAATGAAGCAGCTTGATCATTTATATTATTTGGAGTATTTGAATTTTATTGTGTTGATCAATTTGGTGCAATTAATCTTTTATTGATAAGTCATGTTCCAGTAATATCTTTTAAATATGCACCAACAATTTGTTATTTTCTTACATCAGTTATATTGTTAGCTTGATATACAGTTTCAAAATCTTGTAACTATCTGATAGGATCTTGTATATCTCTATAAAAATCAATAATTTTTGCAAATGATACTTCTCTTACTGGTGAAGCAGGAGCAGTAGCTTGAGCTTGAATAGCATTTGTAAGATTGGTTAGTTCAGTTATCATTTGGTTAAATTATGAATCATTTATGATTAATTCTGATTGTTCTTTTTCATTATCATTTAAATTATTTGATTTTTTGAATCTTTTTCAATAATTTGTACTGATAAATCATTTTAAATTACAATTTGATCGTCTGAATTTTGGAGTTCAATTACTTGTTCTCAAAGTCTTTGTTATCGACAATATTGCTTTTATTATATTGTAAAGATTTGGATATCTTGTTATAAATGGTATAAATAGATTTGAATTTCTTGTTCTTCTTGTGATGAATAATATAGTAATAGTTCTTCAAGTTGTTCAATTAGTTTACTAGTTAGATTTCCTAGACATATTATAGTAAATATTTCTGTTAGTTGATTTTTAATTTCTTTCAGTTATTGTTTGTTTAGATTTTCTGGTAAATTTATTTCATCTTTTAATTCTTCAAATAATCAATTAATTTTTATATCAGTTGATTGTGTTGGATCCAGTTTGATTATTTTAAGTAATTCATCCACAAAAGATTTGTTTATTAATTGATTTATTATATTTGAGACTGTTAAATTTTTCTTCTTAGTATTAATATCTTTAAAACTTTTCTTTTTACAAAGAGAACACCAAAAATTTTGTTATTATTTTAATATAACTTTAAGCTTTATCATGAAAGTACATATAATAGAGTTAGGTACGAGAATTAATATATTAAATAACTTTAAGTTGAAAGAGTTTACTAAGTTATTTAAAGATAGGTAACATATGTTCATTTTGTTGATTAACTAGAATGAAACCAAAAAGTTTCAAAGATAATTGTATCTTTTATAATTCAATTTATAATAAGTCGGATATTTCTTTTAAGTTAATTTATAAACAAGTAAGATGTAATTTTTTTTTATTAATTTAATACTATTATTAACTTTGCAATATAGACAAGAGATCAAATACAAGAATGTATAAGATAATATAACTTCACAATAGTGATAAGAAATTATAAAACAAATACAAGAATAACTTCATAATTAAGATGAAAGATTATGAAAATACTATCTAAAAAATTATTAAAAGAATATAAAACTTAATTAATTGATTTTTTTTAAGCTAAGATACAAGCTGTATTTATAAGTATTTAATAATTATAAAATGATTATTTGAAATGATCATTCAAAGCACTTGAGATGATCAGTTAAAATGATCATTTAGAATAATCATTTGGAGCACTTGAAATGATCGGTTGGAATGATTATTTGGAATAATCATTTAAAGTAATAATTTGAAGTGATCATGTGAAGCAATCATGTAAAATGATCATTTGTGATTATGAAAAATATCTAATCACAACAATACTTAATTATATTAAATATTTTGAACTATAAGAAATTTTATCTTAAATATATAATTATTAAAACAAATATATTATTAGATAATCTTTAATATAATCTATAACATAATTTTTTTGTTCATTTTATTATAAAAATTATTTGTAGTATTACATATATTAACTTATTTAAAAATGATAATTCTTCAAAAAAATTTCAGCAATGGCGCAGTATTTGATACGACTAAGCGGGTGCATTATATAATAGTTTTAGTTGAAAAATAATAAAATTTCTTAATAATGACAATTTACTTATTGAATCAACTGTATAAAATATTCATTTTTCTGTGAAAAGATCAAATGTCTTCTAAAACAAGTGAAACTTATAATATCTGAACTCATAATTAAAAACAAAAATTATCTTTTAACTTAAATTGAAATATAGTTAATCTTCTCTATAATCACATTATTGTATCCAATAGTGACTTTCTTTAAGAATGTGATTTTATTATGAATGCGACAATTTTTCCAAAACTTCATTTGTAAACTTTAATACGATAAATGCTAATAATAAAAAAATGTTTACTAGGTTCTAATCTAGTCAATCGAAAAATAATTGCACAATCTAAATTCGGAAAAAATTACACATTACACCAACTCAATTTGTTGAACATTTTGCACAATATCTTGTGAGCCAATAAACCAAATTCGCTGAAATTCGATATAGACTAGACTAGAACATGGCAAACATTTTTTATTATTAGAATTTATCGTATTAAAACCTGACCTTGTGGTCAATTTTACGTTCAAAAGTTTACGAATGAAGTTTTGGAAAATTTGATTGATCTTTCAACACAGTGAACGTTAATGAAAAATTTTTTACGGTTACACTTTGTCGATCACCATCAACTGTATCGGTATTTTTAGATTTGTGATCCACCATAAAATTGGAATCTTCTATGATCATTGATAATTTACGAAAAATGTTTACTTGACACAGGACGTAAAAATAAAAAAAGACTTAATTATTATTGATTCGCGATTAAATAATCTACAAAGGAAAAAATAATCTTACGATTGTGTTATACAAGATTAAACTGTAATATTTAAAGAATCTTGGTAGGGGGTCCACCAATAACGAAAAAGACTATTTGATTATACAATTATATCGATATGTCTAAAAAAGGATCTTGAATGGTAATGGCTTAGACAGATCAAATAGCTCTTTCTTCCTATATAATAATCATTCGCAGTATTAAATTCTATATAAAGATTAGTAGCACTGACGCGAACGTTAAACATGCACAAAACATTCGCACAGTTAAGAGTCCTTACTATTTCATCTCAAATTAAATAATAACGACATATATGTGTATGTATAGTATATGTACCCTTTATGTATGTATTTATGAACGGTTCCCAGAAAAACCCTCCCAAGAAACCAAAATTTATACAGACGCAAAAAACAATACAAATAATAATATATAAAAATTGATTAAAGAAAAGGAAAAGAGAAATAAATATATAGATTCACAACTAAAAAATAATCAATTTGATTTTTGTTTATATTATTCTCATATAACAAGTTTAGCCTTTCACAATTTTCCTTATTCAATAAATCAGTTTTTATAAATTCGAACAAAAATAAAATAAATCCAATAAACTAAAATTTTTAAACATATGAAGATGTGTTGTTAATGTGTGTGTATATATGCCAGAATGAGGAGAAGGATGACTATTAATAATAATTAACAATATATTTATAAATAATAATAATAGTCTAATCTAAATTCGAAGATCTTTCCAAATCCATTTCCAACATTCCACTACCTTCACCAAATAAACTTTGTCTTTTCAGTTGTTGTGATGTGTTGTTATTTCCACCATTACCGGTGTTTGAAATGTTTGTTCCTGATCCTCCTCCTCCTAATCCGCCATCTGAAGAATTATCAGATATTACAGATAAATTTTCATTCGACGACGCTGCGGCAGCTGCGGCAGCCGCTGCTTCTTTCTTTGCGCGCCTCATCGATCTTCTTGCATTAATACTTGCAGTGGTTGCGTTACCGCTGCCTGCACCTCCTGCACCACTTGCTGCACCCCCACCTCCTCCTGAACGTAATGTTTCACGTCTTGTTACAGTCGGATTCCAAGAAAGTCTTCCACCGTGGGCAGCTGTTGTTTGTAAATCTCCTCCTATATTACCTGTATTTGAGATTGGAGGGATTGGAGGAATTGGCGGAACTGGTGGAATGTTTCTAGTATTGGATGGAGGAGCATTAGCAGGAGTACCAGAAGATGAAACATCCCTTCTCTCAATTCCTTGACCCAACCTAATTGTCAATTTTGGTGCTGATTGAGATTCAGGTAAAACTGGATTGATTGCTGGTGTTGTTGCCGTAATCGGAGTTTTTGGTCTACGTGAATCTCTTAAATCAAGACCAGCTAAAAATGCCTTTTTTGCACTTTCCGCGCCAGGAACATCAACATTTAGCTCCGGACTTTGAGAGCGAGGACTTGTACGTGGACTTAATTTTGGACTTGACAGTGGACTCCTTGATCTCCTTGCAGCTGTAACTGGGATTGAAGGTGGAAGATCATCAGGAGTTGTACTTTGTGGTGATAATGAATTGTTATTACTAACTGCTAATGAAGATGAAGATGATGTGGCATCCGATTCACCAATTCCACTGCTTTTCTTGAATGCAGCCAACCATGAAGTAGTTTTTCTGGCACGATCAGTTTTCTTATCATCAGCCATTTGTCTCTCCTTATTTTCTGTTGCTTTTTTCGTATTTTGAGCTTGAGTTCTGGTTGTTAATGCGGGGAACCACGTTTTCCTGGTCTTTGGTATTCTAATTGTACCGCGTCTTTCGATATCACTTTTAACATCCCAAACTGGAGTATCTGCATTCTTAGCACCATAAATTGTTTTATGATGTGCAGCAGACATTTGAGTCGGGAATAACAATTCACGTGCAGGTAATAATGTTGTCGGAGTACGCTCTTTCTTCTTTTTCCCCTTGGATGACGTGGTCGAGTCAAATGATTTCTTTGATTCGACCGTTAATTTTAATGCTCGATATTCAGACGGTTTAACTACCCGACGTCGATTTCTTCGTCGTAGACAACAAATAATTGCACTCGATATGATTATTAATCCACTTGTACTTGTACCAACAATTAATCCGATAAATGCTGGTTTGGTTAATCCCAATGGACGTGATTCTGATGTTGGTGCTGCTATTGCTACTGATGTTGCTGTTGCTCCTGATGTTGCTATTACTGATGATGTTGCTGTTGAATTATTACTTTTTGGTGCCGAATTATTATCCATCGCGGATGTAGATGGAGTTGATGCTGGTGATGGTGATGATGGATTAACAATATTATTATTCGATTGTGGTTGTCCATAATTATTTTGAACATTATTATAACCATTAGTGCCATAGCCATTATAGCCATTATAGCCATTATTGCCATTATTGCCATTATTGCCGTTATTGTCATAACCATTAGTGCTATAGCCGTTATTGTTATAAGGTTGTTGTTGTGGTGATCCAGAAACTAGACTAAATATCAAAGTCGCCATTATCAACAACACGAAAAGAGTTCTTCCGAACCTTCCATCCCGATTCATCATTTTTGTCCTTTGTTTGCTAATCTTTGCATCAGCAGCATCATTATGATCAACGATGTCATTATTGCTGATCGAGCCGTCCACACGGCTATCTGTCCTTTTCATGATCTATCACGCGTTATTTGTCGAAATCCCCAGAATGAATGCTATTTAATTTAGAAAAAAGATCAATTTGAAAAAAAAATTATAGAAAATAATTTAATAATTAATCAATGGAATAGTTTTTTTTCGATGCTACTTATTAATTCATGCTGAGTGCTGCTGCTGCTGTGTTTTTCCTGTGATATATGTTTTTTTGTTATTGTGGATAATATTAAAGAAAACTATTACACTCGAAAGAATCAAAATACACTTTTTATATAGGGAAAGATAGAAAATAATTCATAAGATAATATCAATACAAAAAATATAAATAATAGAAGAAATGCTAAAATGGTCAACCCAATATTTATATTTTATATAATAATCGAATCGTTTCGAAGAAACCTTTAGAAAGCCTAATTTTCCGCACGCGACTGACCGCAGCAGGTAAAAAGCGAGAAGAGCGCAAATTACTTGTCGTCGAGAATACTTTTTTTATAATTATTATTTTTTATCGTTGTGATTGTTTGTTTATTTTTTTATGTTTATTTATTAGAAGCACCGTTTCATCTCTTTTTGAATTTTCGTCGTGTCAGTTGTCTTTTTTGTACGTGGGCCAAAGACGTCGTCAAGAAAGAGAAGGAAAAAAAGGTAGAATTCTACGCGAATGCCATACCCTTTGCTTTTTATAGCATGAATCGATGTGTGCATAAATTATTGTTATACTAACTATGGTATTACTATATTCATCATTTAGAGTAAACTATGTTCATCTATCTATTGTATAAGGGTGAGTGTGCTATAAAAAAATTGACGGGGTCAAATAACAATAATAATAATAAAATAATAATGATCATTTAATATACATATTTCCAGTAGTCATGCGCACACAATGATGTACCACCAAAAATTTTTTGGGCATGTATTGTTGTTGTACACTTTATCTCATGAGAATAATAAATAAATAAATGCACTAATAAATATATACTATATTTATTATATTATAAATAAATTTACCATATACAGTGATCGCGCACTACTGACATATTTATTTTCCGAGTATAAAAAGAATGGTACTCAGATTATATTCTTTTTGGATACCATTTATCATTAGTCATTTAAAACCTAGAAATAGACAAGACAAAAAATTAAATATACTACATAATACACAAACATAACACACAGATTAATCGCAGAATTCAAAGAAACACCAAAAAAATAACGTGGGCTAAATATATTATTTTTAGTCACAGAACTTTGCATACCTAAATAGATGAAAATATTAGACGTGCATGTATAACTCATATATGCGTGTGTATTATAATATATGCGTGCACAAGTTTTCAACGATACTAACTACGTATTCTTGAGTTGTTTATTCATTCATTCTCTATCGTCAAAAGTTTATGTACAGTATCATTAACGAAAACATAATACACCGGATAACACCCCTCAATAACACCCCCCTCAATAGCACCTCCCTCAATTCATCTATTTCATAGTCATGTCAAAAATTGGGAATCATAATGATCGTTATGGGTCCTTTATAACACAGGAAAAAACATATATAACGAACAAATCAAGTTTAGAATAGACGACGAATCAAATTTAAAGATAGACAGACGAATCAAGTTTAAAGATAAATGATACAATTTATAGATCATACAGTCTATTCGTGAGTTGTTAACGCCAAAGTTACTTTATAACGTATTTCTTATACTGAGAATCCATACATAATATGGTAAAAGTCATTGTCTTTCTTGTGTGTCGAAAAACAAATCCAATTACGATATTCACGTGTTTTTATCTTATCACTTTTCTTGATCATCCTAACCAAATATTCAAAAAAAGTAAATCATACACAAATAACATACATATCAATATTATTATACGTAATATTATTTTCGTTATTATTCTTGAAATTCAAATATGGATAGAGTGGACAGGTGTACTAATAATAGCTAGATTATTGTTTATTTGTAATAAAAAAAAGCCATACGTATTTAGTATATGTTTAGCACGCTCATATTGAATCGAAAGTATAAATATCGATATTTCGAAACAATCGCACTTCTCGCCCATTGATAAATATGAAATCGATCTATTTACGATCCCGCTGCTCACGCCAAGAGAAAGAATCAATTGAATTTGGATCATGTGTCAACTAACAAGTATCAAAATGGATTGAATTTGAATAACAAGTCGGACTTCAAGACCAACGATTAGTACACCAAAACAAAGATTACAGAGCCTCATTCATGTATTGTATTGGAAAAGTTCATTGAATTATGATTGGTGGATTGATTGGTTTACATTCACAAGTTGGTAAGCGTGATATATTCGATTATTCTTAAAATTTAACAAATTGTTATTAGCTTGCCCAAATTTGATAGGAAGAAGCAATTATTATCGTTATGTAGAAATTTTAGTGAAGTGACATGAGGTAATTATGGGGGGAGGGGAGGGGGACAACTCAATTATCTCACCTTCCACATGTTAATATTATATGGATTGTCTATTTATAGATCTCAGCAAAGGGGGAGAAGGGTCAGTCTTAATGAGCTCATGTGTGTCACTTTCCTTACTTTTCATTGAAATTTCTTTCCAATATGTACAACAATACCTTGAAAAATTTATTTATAGATCAATTAAATAACTAATATTATGTATGAATAAAAGGAACTTTACGCTTCTTAATAACAGTTTTTGCTGCCTCAACTTCATCAGGTGGTGCATCAAAGTAAATGTTATATCTGAATCGTCGAAGAACCGTGATAGCAGTCGCCTCTAAAGACCCTGGCTCAATACCTAAATCTCGAAAAGTTTTCGCATCCGATGAAAATTTATCAGATATTGTCATCCGTTCAATGTCGTCGGGAGAAAGCGTAGCCCATGGAAGTAAGTTGTTCTGAAGTCGCGCGTATAAGAGCGCAATCGATTTAGGAATGTAGACACGAGTTTTCGTTTTCTTTGTGATGTCGGTGACTAAACCATAAAGTTCGGCAAATGTGTATCCTTTTGTGCCATAAAACTCATATGTTTCGCCCATTGTTGATTCGGAGCTTTGCATCATTTCAAGAGCTTTCGCAACATCAATTACCTAAAAAAATATTTTTTCAGCATTAATGTTGAATTTTATTTTACATTATAATCCTAAAACTGTGATGTCAAAGAGAATTGTTTACATACGTTCACAGGATGTACAACTGCATCATTATGTCTGATTAATAATTCCCATCCATCATTATCTATAAAATCCATAACATAAAATGTCAATAAAGTGATTAAAGATTAAAAACTAAAAAATTCTAAATTCTAAAAAAAAGAATTTCACCTGCCAACCTATTCAAAAATCGATCCTCTGGCCCAAATAAATAAGCAGGTCGAACAATCGTTGCATCCGGAAAAGCATCTTTCACTTGCATTTCGCCTAAGGCCTATGCTTTGAATGTAACAATAATAACCATCATCAGGATAAGCAACAATCTACAAGAAATTAACAATAATCCTTTTTTTAAGAGAAAAAACTTAGCCACCTTTGACCTAAAAAATTTTGACGCGGATTTTACGTCAGCATTTAATGCCGAGACATGAACAAATCGTGATACTCCTTGTTCCGCTGATATCTGTGCAATTTTTGCTGCATACTCTGCATGAACTGCTTCATATGAAAAATTCCTATTAATTCATTATATCCGCGTTTTTTTTGGAAATAATTTAATTAATTTAATTTTATTTTATAATTGTACAAATAATAAAAGAAGCATAATTACTTTGTCTCGTAATCTCTTCCTATTAAATTGTACACAATATCTGAATGCCTCACAGCTGATACAATTGCATCTGTGTTTCGAAGATCAAATTCCTGCAATGTTAATTAATAAATAAATAGAGTGCACCATTAAGGAAATAATTAATTGATAAAAGTATATTAACATAAACATATAATATTCCTGCTCAAAAGCATAACAGTTACTCTTTACTTACTATTGAAACAACTTGACCGAGATCTCCATTAACTTTTAAATGTCTCTTTTCATCTTCATCCCGATAAGGAATAACAACTTGAGTCCCTTGTTTAGCTAATAAAAATCATCAGAATAATAAATAATTTTATTGTAACTTTGGAATAAATTAAATTAGATTCTCATCACATACCGAGCTTAGCTACCAGATATCGCCCAAGAAATCCAGTACACCCAAATACTGTAGCGACGTGACCACTTACTGAAGATCTATTTTTAAATTTGCAAATATGTTCAATAATTCATTTTTAGCCGATAATATAAAATTTCCAAGAATCTCTTAATTTCGAAATCAAATTTGAACTCACCGGCCACCGGGGCCATATTTTACTATCGGTTTCCCAGTTCTTTTCCTTATAATAATATCATGAGCATTGCGCTTAAATGAAAATAATGATCACTTTTAATTTTAATAAATAACAAACCAAGTCTGAGAATTTATATATATTTAAATACCCTTTGAACAAAACCACAACCACTATTGGAACATTTTAATACACTGCCAAAACCTATAAATTGAAGTAAGGGAATTAGAGATTATAGTTTTTCTTTTAAAACTGTAGTACTTACTGCGACGTGAAAAATGAGTGAAATTGTTCATCTTTCCCAGCGTGCTAGATTTTCGTCTCGAACTTTGGTTTGGTATTACATTAGATTTTCGGTAACGTGATCTGTACAATGTAATATAAATTAATCAAACCTTCAATGCGATTATGAAAATGGCGGCGACAACCGGCTCTACAAATTCCACATCGATTGTGAATAGAGAACAACATACATTTGTAAACCCAACAAAAGTTATCACAGAACAAAGCGACATTAAGACATGGCTCGAATCAGAAGCATATTCTCTATTATTGGTATTCATTACAAGTCTAAATGAGTCAGTGGTGAATAAAAAGATATCTGATTCTGTTAAGGTCTCGGAGGTGGTGATTTTACTATTTTACATTATATATTATCATCATGAGTTAGAAATTAAATTATATTTATATTAATTATATATATTAATTTAAAGACTGCATCAAAAATTATCGCTGCGCTCGAAGGCATGAGTCGTTGGGTGGACGAAATACCTCCTCTAAAAACTCCACAACGTTTCGGTAACAAAGCCTTTCGTGACTGGATATCACGTCTAGAACAGGTTTCATTTGATACAATATTTTCTTTCTAGCTATAATACATAATAATAAGTCAATTCTAATAATTATTAAATATGTAAAGAACGCGGTATCGATCCACAACGACATCTTACCAAAGGAATGGCACAGAGCAAATATTGAATTAGTGCCCTGTTTCATTGCAAGTTTTGGGAATAGTACGCGCATAGATTATGGAAGTGGGCATGAATTAAGTTTTGTTGCGTGGTTGTGCTGTCTAAATCTTTTAGGGATTTTCAGTCAAGAAGATCATTCGGCCTTGGTATTGAGGGTGTTTGTAAAGTAAGATCCGGATTTTTAAATTCTTATTTCCTAGAAATTAGCAATTCTTTTTAAATCAATATAAAGATATTTAGAGTTAATTCGACGTCTACAACGCGTCTATATGTTGGAGCCAGCAGGAAGTCATGGTGTATGGGGTCTGGACGATCATCAATTCTTGCCATATTATTGGGGTAGCGCTCAACTTAGAGGTATGAACATTATTGTATAATATTGGCAATAGATATATCTGTTTAATAGAACGTGTCGTTGCATTGATTTTTAATATTCTTTGGAAATAATTTAGACCATCGTCGCATCAAGCCAAAATCTGTACTTTCCGACGATATACTAGAAGCTTACGGAAGTGAATATATGTATTTAGCATGTATTAAATATATTAAGGAGGTGAATGATTAAAAAATTCTTTTTATTCTTTAAAGCTTCTAGAACAATAACACTGGTAATAATACCATTGACAGGTCAAAAAAGGTCCATTTCATGAACATTCACCACTTCTTCATGATATCTCTGGCGTACCGCTGTGGAAAAAAGTAAACTCCGGCCTATTAAAAATGTACATAGATGAGGCTTTGAAAAAAGTTCCAGTCGTGCAACATTTTCTATTTGGTAGTTTATTGCCGTATATGCCAGCACAAACACCATTTGTAATTACTACCCCTGCGGATGACACTGCAAATACTAATCCAGCATCCAATACTTCTTTTACAACGACGAGGGCTACTACAAAGACGACAGCAGCATCACGAGGTCAAAATTTGTCTGCAGCGGCGATGCGATTAAAGGCTGGGATGCCGAGAGGCGGAAATAGTGGATTATGAACTTTTTTCTATTAATATTTATTTACATCGATTTGAACATTATCGTTATGAACATTATGAAATTCATTTAAAACACGTATTCTTAAATAAATGCAAAGTTTCTGTTTTTAATCAATTACACGAAATTTAGTTTTCGTTTTTAATATTTAATTCGGTTTGATTTCGTTTACCACTGACAATGGTTGTAGTAATACTACATATAGATCACTTCATGATCTACATGGCGCAGCTATGCTGCGCACCCGCACTTTGACGATCTTCGACCTTTTGATCTCATGATAACAGTTTGCGATGGGTAAATCATGATTATTGTTCACGTGATCTAGAATGACAAACCAAAAAAATATTGAAAGTTACACAATAATAACTTTCATTATTTTATTGGATTATTATTTTATAATTTAGTATTGTTATTGTTATAGTTTATTTTGTTTGTTATATTTTATTGGACAATTTCTTAGTTTATTTTTATTGAACATTTCGTATAGTATATTTTATTGAAGAATATTTATTTTTATTTTTATTGGTTAGTTATTTTTGGACTTATTGTTTACATGTGCTGTACATCAATGTGACAGATATATTGAACCTTTGATATTTTGAACTGTTGATCATTAGAGATATCGAACCATTGATATTTTGAAGCATTGATCTTTAGAACTATAGAAAT